CCAAGCTCTGTATCTGTCTACCAAATGCAATTTCTTCGTGGATTGAAGAACTGTGTGAAGTTGAACAGTGAATAGCAGCGTCGGATCCCCCTCCTTGGTCTTCCTACAATGGGTCTACTTCGCGCTGTATTGCACTTGACTCGAGGTATTTCGGATGAAATGAATGTAGGAAGATGTGAACCCTGAGTTCCAATCACTTTTGGTGCAACTGAAGTACTAACCTCAGACAGCTTAGAAGTAAGCGGGACTGAGTAGTTAGAACTCCTTTGAGATAGAGTATTGCCAATATACCGTTTGCTATCAAACTCTGAATCTGTAACCTTAGAAGATTTGTGTGATCTTCTCCGTTTACCAGCCATGAGGAGCACCCTGTGATTCGCTCATGCCACGTAAGATACTCTCAATCTACTTCGTCAAGCAAATGTCCTCCAAACGAAGCAAACCTTAAAACCTTTGTAAGGATTACATTTGTTTTTTACGAGTTTCACCACGGATTGATATCAACAATAGACAGGATGTTTGGATAAAACAATATCTAGTGGGATCATAACTAATGTGACGAATAGTTGTTTACGCAATCAGGGATTAAATATGTAGAAATAATAAATTGAAAAAATAGACAGGAAGTTCGGATACGAAAATATGGTAGTGTAAATAGGGATTAAGAAAAACTTAAAATAACATGAATAAACAAGAAGTTTGGATAAGAAAGTCAATGGGATAGTCACTATTAGAAGAATTACCTGTTTATGATGGCCACGGCAGGGACAAGGGTTGAACGTATTTCTTTTGAATGCACAGCGTGGGTTTGAGCTTTTGGGTGGCTAGTGCCTCGGCTATGCCCAGATGTCTTAATTTTACTCCTTTTGATAGGTTTGATCGAATCTTGTATAAGGTAACAGGTAATTCTTCTAATAGTGACTATTCCATTGACTTTCTTATCTAAACTTCCTGTTTATTCATGTTATTATTTTATTATTTCTACATATTTAATCCCCGATCGCATAAACAATTATTCGTCACATTAGTTATGATCCTCATTAGATATTGTTTCATCCAAACATCCTGTCTATTGTTGTTGTTTCTACATTTCTAACCTTTAATTGCACAATATGTCAATCTTCTCAGGATTGATATCAGTTAGAGAACCACTGAAAACCAACAGAGAGTACTGGACAGCTGTTAAGACCTAGTTTAGAACTCACCAGCAGTACCCAACCACCACCACCACGGTTCGAACCCAGGACATCCCGGCTACAAGTCAAACCCTCATCATTCATTCATCCACTGCGACCCAACTCAATGGCCAATGAACTCTCATTCCAATCAATTCGTGTTATTCGGCGCGATCACCAACCAATGTCATCGGGGAGTATTCGCCCTCACTCCCGATCGGGTGAACCCCACTGGTCACGACTTCTCACTAGAGCTTGCCTCATAACAGGAAGGTCCTGGGTACTGTCAGTGGTGGGTGCGTACTGCCGATGATCCCCAAACTAGGATGAAAGAGCTGGCTGTCCAGTACTCCCTGCTGGTTTTCAATGGTTCTCTAACTGATATCATTCCGTGGTCAAACTAGTATAAATAAATTAAGATTATTCAGGATACGGTAGGAAACTTTGAAAGCCGCCTTGTTTTCACCGATTTTGTTTTCTGTATCGACCAGATAAAATAGAATAGAAGTATGAAATAGACTTTGTTTACCTCTTGCTAAATCACTATGCAGGATAGTGTTCAGAAATCCGACGATAAACACCCTCCCCTCAGCTAGACAACAAACTCACTGATGATAGCAAGCCTTATAAAGTGATCTACCCTCTTTCGTGCGTTGGCGACACAGCGGTAGAGTGTTCGCCAGCCATGCAGGTGGTTTGAGGTTCGATCTCTGGCCGACTCACTCTTTTACCTTACTAAGCCATTAATAAGACCGGTAAAGAGGGAAGGTTGGACGGTCAGGTTAGTAACCTCACGCCGTAATAACAAAACCACTGCTACTGAAACTTCACATCCCCAGCTTGAAGTCCTAAGTTTCCGTGCGAATGTAAAGGAATGAAAAGAAACCTCTTTACCATGTTGAATTATGGTTGCCAAAACAGGTACCTAAATCAGCAAATAATCTTATGGGCTTTCTTAGCATAAACATCTTTATGAATTCATTGGATAACCCATTGTTAAAATCTCTTATTACCTATACCAACTAATTAACTGATCGACTGCTTACTGTCTAAGTGAAATCAGGTCAGCTGCCTAGACTGTGTGTTCTTATTTTGCTCAGTTAAGAACATAACTGAGGTTGTTTTCAAACACTTTTTTTCAATAAATCGTTTCAGACTAGTGAATTCACCTATTGTTATTATTATTATCATTTTGGCCACATTTGTTTTTTTTTTTGCTGGTTTCTACAGTATGTCTTAATTATCCGCCTTCTTGGGGGCGTCTTGACTCAGTGAAGTGTGATGCCATATTCAGAATTCCTTTTCTACTACTTGTTAATCTCTCTTATATGTCTTCTTTAATATGTGTGTATCCTTAATACTAATATTATGTACGTTCAAATCTGTAATTATTTGATTCAGTCAATCTGGAATTTAAGTGTTGGTTTGTAGGAATTCGATTGACATTAGTTAGAGAACCATTGGAAAACCTGGGAGTACTGGACAGTTGTTTCGACCTAGTTTGGGACTCACTGGTAGTACCAACCCACCACCACGGTTCGAACCCAGGACATCCCGGTTACAAGTCAAACTCGTAGTCCATTCAGCCACTGGAACCCGATCCAATGGCCCATGAATTCTAACTTCTGCCAATTCACGACATAGCGCGACCCCTAGACAATGTCGTGAATTGGCAGAAGTTAGAATTCATGGGCCATTGGGTCGGGTCCCAGTGGCTTAATGGTCTACGAGCTTTCTCGCCTTGTAATCAGAAGGTCCTGGGTTCGAACCGTGGTGGGTGCGTGCTGCTGAAGAGTCCCAAATTAGGACGAAACAGCTGTCCAGTATTCCCAGGTTTTCCAATGGTTCTCTAACTAATGTCAGCTCATGATGAAATTCTGTAATCTGGAATTTGTTCTAAATACTTGAAAACATGATTACTCTGACAGTGTTTCCTGTTAGTAGGAACTGTGTTTATTGCATTCTCAGTTATCTATGATGCATTAGATCAACTGACTTCGTCGACTGAAAGATACTATGGAAATGTTTAGCCGTGAAATGGGTGCCAAGAAAGTACATTGCACTAATCAAGGCATTCTGCTTGAACTCATTCAGCGACTTAGGGATTAACTTGGTACGAGGGAATAGTCCTGTTGATGATTTAGTTCTCCTAGATGAAGATGCTTATAAGATACAGTCTTCTGAACACTTTGAACAGCAGTCTTCGAATGTTTGGCATATAATTTTCTACTGTCAAATGTAAGATGATGCCATAAGACTGGACTACATCGACTCCTAGCTTGAATGGTGGAGCGTGTTGACCACTTCAGTTATTTGAGAGTGATTACTGATGAAATTTCAGTATGAATACAAAAAGTTCGTTTGGCATCTCCAAACCTACAGCATCTCTGACACAGATGTGAAATCCGCCTAGCTATCCATCAAAGGATGTGTATACTGCGCTTCAGCAATTCACGTTGTCCTTCTTTGTGACTGTGAAGCATAACCACTGAAAGCAGAAAACATGATGAAGAGGCCAGATGTCTTTGATCACATGTATTTGCATTCTCTCTCCCATTATTATGTGGTATAATATGGTAAGTAATGTTGAGGTTAGGCATAAATTACTGGTTAAGGAGGGAAAGTTAATCGATGAGGTTTTTATAAAAATAAGTTAGTCGCATATTTCACTGTTGATCGCTATGCCTTCTTTTTCATTATAATTATTATTATTATTATTATTATTATTATTATTCCCTTGGGTTCCAAGGGGAACATAGGGCTTCAACAACACAGATCCACTTTCTTTTATTTTATGCCGTCCTCTTCAGCTGGCTAGCCACACAACTCCCCATAATCTCTCATCTCCTCCTCGCCACACGATCTCATCCATATCACCCTCGCACCGGTGATCCACTCGTCGCTTCTCATTGGGACTCCACTAGAGTGATGGCCTGCATTATGCGCGATGTCGTTCGACAGTTCCCTCAATGTATCCCCGATCCATCTCCATTTTCTCCTACATATTTGTTGAACAACAGGTCTTTGTTTAGTTCCTTGTTGCTAATTCTTTCTGGTCATTTGATCTTCAACATAGAGCGAAGGCAGCTGTTGATTAAACCCTTGTAATCTGTTGGAGATCCTTTTCGTAACGCGCCAAGTTTCTAACCCATATAGAAGGATTGACTGACTTCACATTTGTGTTGAAAACCAGAATCTTGTTCTTTATGCTGAGTGAGTTCAGAAGATTTCCAAACTGATTTTAGATTGATGAAGGTGTATCTTGCCCTCCCAATTCTGGCCGGTTAGTTTTGACATCTTCATCCATTCCTCTGGCTGTTGTTGGAACCGTGCTTCCTGGTCAGATAAGTGAAGGAAGTAACCTCTTTCAAATTTCTCCTGTTAATGGTGATTGGTGCTGGTTGTTGTTGGTGTTGCTGTTGGTTGGTTGGTTGGTTGGTTATCTTCATCACCTCCGTCTTCTCTATGTTCACCTGGAGTCCTGTCTTCGCTCCCAACTAGCCTCTTCAGCCACTTTCTTGATTTTCGCCTGCAAGTCATCGAGTTTGTGTGACATTAAAAACAAATAATCACACACGAAACCCGAATCTTCGAAAATCTTCTTCTCGGTCCAGTGTATTTCTTTCTTCTCACTCCCCACAGTCTGACGCATAATCCAATCCACCATAATTAAGAATAACCATCGGTGATAATAGACAGCCAGCCTTATCTTTCTACTGTATTCACTACAAACGCTTCACTGTGGGGCCTTTCTTTTGCATAGAATTTATTCGACTAACTTATGAAATAATCCATTGTTTTTGTGTTGTTATCGTTTCATTACAGGCGTAAAGACTTGCGTACTCAAGCACCTGATGACCTTCCAGTGAATATATTTAAACCACCCAAGTAAGTTTCTGTCTCTTTTTGTTTTGTTATCTCTTTTCCATTATATTTTTACTCTTGAATTTATTACACTGATATATCGAAATCTGTAAACGCACTTAATAAAGACTGTAAAAGGTAATATTCTCATGAAGCAAAATCTCGATCAGTATTCACACATAAATAGTAGAAAGTTTCCCGGCCGATAACTGCTACCTTGTCGTGGTGGTCGAGTTTGAATACCGTAATGACCCAACATGCTAAACTGGCTGGGACTCTGTCCCTGCAGGTCCTACCTTGTCAGGAAGGTTGTTTGGATAGCGAGTAAACTAAAAGCAGTTACCGTGGGGTACATGGGCTCCAGTATCCAATCGGATCAAATGACGTATGAACCCATATGGGTCACCGGAAACCATGAGAATGCAGCTCCTGACACTGCTCCGCTGCCTTGAGGATTAGACTACAAGTCAAAGGCTCGGGGGATGGTCCCTTAATAAGACCACCTGCTTCGGTCTGGGCGCCCGGGCAGTATCTCAGCCCTCACACAATGAACTGAATGAAGCAAAAAACAATCAATGAAACTTATTGCGTGCTATTACACGTGTTGCAATTTCCTTCTTTCTTCCCTTCCCGATGATAGTTAACGAATACTGTTTGAACTTGTTAAGCATGACTGTTTTCCTTCCAGATGAAGTTCTTTATCCGTTCTCCACTTATGTGTATTTTTTTCTCTTCTTTCTTTCTTTTTTTCTTTTGATCTATGTTGTTTTATTATTATTGTGTGGCACATCCTTGTTGGTGCCATATTGTACCAAGCTTTCATGCGTTTAAATAAATAATAAATAAATAAAATAAGTAGAAAGTTGTGTAAAATGTGCCCAAGTTGTTTCAGGCGTTTAATGTTATCCATCTTTGGTATTCAAACACAGATTTAATGCCTTTTTGGACAGCCCAACCTCATCGGTTGACTTACCCCCCCTCTCTTATAGACTGTTAGGTAAGGGAAGGTTAACCACTCGATGTAGTTCCACAACCTCCCCCCCCCCACATCAATTAAGATGGCTAGAGCAGGTGTTGCGCATACCTCCAGCCATCACCTACCTGACGTAGAATTAGGTTGGAAAAGTGTCATCAATCCATGAAGTCGTTGATAGGTGGTTTGAGTGAGCCACTCCCTCGGGATATCTGCCTCAAAATCGTTACCAATGGCGCAGATTTCTCCGAAGAATGCTTTATGGAGTTGTTTCGTTGTTGTTGTTGTAGATGTACTAAAAGCTGTTACGTTGATGTCTAGAGGGACTGTGACACCCTACCAGGTAAATAGCTTATGTTGACGTAGAGATTTAAGATAGTATAGTCTTTGTTTTTTTTGTGAAGTCTGTTGAAATAACACTTCCAACCCTGACATGTGTACTTATTTACATAGATTAGACTAAAGTCTAATTGTACTACTTATGTATGTGTGTATTTTCACAGCATAACAGCATATTAGTAACTGTGACAAAACTCAAATTTGATTTCATTGTGATATGAAGCAGCTTTTGTATTGCTAATAATCTATCTGTAATGGCTCCTTGTTTCAATTTTTTGTTGTGAAGAGTTTTTTGTAGATAGTGGCAGTATAAGTAGTGAAACTCCCCGTAACTAACATTTCTTATTGCTGTGGAATCTGTTTGTTATTCACTCACTCACTGTATGTATCACCTCAGCTATCTCATCTACTATTTTCATATAATAAATTAGACATTTAACTTCCTAACTGATATAATAATAATAATAATGTGTGTAATAGTAGGCGTAGAAATCAGATATGTGATAGGGCTTCTATGTACATACAACACTTAGCTCTCTCTCTCCCTCCCTCGCCCTGTCTGTCTCTGTAGATCAATAGTAGTGATAATGATGTGGAATAAATGGGAGAAATAGAAAAAAAGAAACAAAAAAAAACAAATTTGATAAAATCATGTGGTTGGTGGTGGTGGTGGTTGGCTTTTATCGCATGCAAGCATGGATGTCACACATTATTGACGTGAAATTTTTGTGAAATTTACAGACTGACTACTACTACCACTAGTAACTGTCATTTTTCAAAGTTGCCTATATAACACCACACACAAAAAATTGACATTGAGGGTTGTGGCAGAGTGAATAATAAATAGATAAAAAATCTCTTGTGTCTTTTTTTTCTTGTCCCCTATCACACACACACACATATCAAATGAACTGTCAAAACACAAACTTCACTTCCTTGTCCAGAGTAAAGATTTCATTTAGATGTATGTAGGATATAGGAAATATATATATATATCCCACGACTGAGTATTTTGAAAGAATTTCATGATAATATATATAGCCTGACTGCTGCCAGCTGTTGTTGTTGTCATCGGTGATTATTTGTCCTCATCGACCCAACTAACTTGGTGGATCCTGTCGGTCGTGAGTTCCTACTATAAAACAAATTCAGTCACACTCACTCTAGTGTGAGCAGTAGATCAATTTTCAAGTGTGTCTTCGCTACGATCTAACTGATTACGAACTGCCTTCAGAAATTAGAATTGCTAGTCTACTGGATTCTATCCCAGTGTAACAAGAGAAGACAAGGACCAGGCAACAGATCGTTTATTAAGGAAATCAACTCGTATTTATATATTTTCATGTACATTATTATAGATTATTGTTAGCAGAAAAACACGGTCTTCTGATTGGTTGTTTCTCACAGAAAGTTGACCTTGCATCTCTTTGTGACTGTTTCTTGAATGTCAGGTCATCTATGTGTTAACTGTATCTACCTACGCTAAGTCTGCTCTTATTGGTTGTTGAATCAGTCTTGTACATATTTTCTCACGACCAATATTTGCGACATGCATATTGACGTAAATTAATGTCTACCACTTTTGGCTAGCAGCCACCTCTCATCACACCAGTAACTCGCCTTGTAAACTGGAAGATCCTAGGGATCAATCCCTAACGACTGGGGTCATGGATGTGTAATGATGAAGAGTCCCAGACAAGGATGAAACAACTCTCCGATACTCCTTGTCTTTCACTGGTTCTGCAACTAAAGTCCATCTTAAGAACAGTCAAATCCCCACAGACAAACACTTGGAAAGTATTTCAATTCAGAAATAGTACAATTATAGGTTTGGTCACGCACGAACCCACATCAGGTAGAGAACCAGTTAGAAACTGGGGTTTACTGGGCAGCTTTTTCGACCCAGTTTAGGACTGTTCATCAGTGTACAACCATCGCCAGGGTTTCAACCTAGGACCTTCCGGTTACAAGGTGATCTCGTAGACTATTCAGCCACTAAAACCGACCCAGCAAGTCACTCGCCTATGACGTCGGCTGGCGTTTGCACTTAGATATGGAGAATTAACTACAAGTTGGAATTCATGGGCCATTGAATCGGATCCCAAAGCCCGGTTTCCTATTGGTTCTCTAAGTGATATCAACTCGTGGTCAAACCTATAACCAATTAAATCCCCGCAAACCAACACTTAATAATTCTATGTAATTGTTGTTGAACATGCGCGCAGAAACATACACACACACCGCATTTTATCATCTGCTTTGATCAATCACTCCGACTTTACTTTTGAAATTTGAGTAGACTAAAAACATAAGCATACTAGTATATTATTTTTATTTGCAGGGTGCTGGGTGTTAGAAAACAAAGTCTGAGATAGTCTTACCATACACCATTGTATATTGACCTTTAGCATTGGTTTGATGTGTTAGAGTAGATTTTTTAAAATTTCATTTCATATTGATTTTTTTGGATATAGTACGCATAGTGGAACAGTATTACTTACTGGATAACGAAGTTTCGGGCGCATGATCACAACAGTTGTAACTGCACAACTTCGAAGCTTTGTTTGTTATAGTTAGTTGTATGTATTCCTTTCTATTTGTCATAGAGGCAGTAGGATTTTCCAGATGGCCAACCGAACAGGTGTTGAATCATCCCTACTGCCCGTATTTTCCACTGAATCGATAAATAAAGCTTCCTTTATCAATCTCTCCCTCCACACTGTTATATTAGATCTTAAAACTGTCATCTTATCCCATCCTTCTATTGTATGGTTGAGTGTGTGTGTGTGTGTGCTGAACTATTTTCCAGACTTCTTATCTTATTCGGGTCAACTAATCTAGATTTTGCTAGGTTTTTGTACTCCGCTAATCTGATTGACGCCGTCCTACTAATTTGGCCTATGTATGTTTTTAACCTGACAATTACTGCAGAATATTTGATAAATCAAATTATTGTTTTTTTTTCAAGTATTGATTTGTAGGGATTTGATTGATTGGTTACTGGATTTCATCATCAGCTGACATCGGTTAGAAAACCATTGGAAACCAGAAGGGAGTACTGGACAGCTTTTTCGTCCTGGTCGGAGACTGTCGAGCAGTACGCACCCACTGGGGTTCCAACCCAAGACTTTCTGGTTACAGGGCAATAGCTTGTATACCATTCAGCCACTAGGATACAATCCAATGGCCATAAATCCCTCCAAACCGATACTTCAATATCCATCTGATGCTCACTAGCGACTAGCTTTATTCACACAGGTTCTAATGGGAAGTCGTGACCAGTAGGATATAGCAGGTCGGGTGTGAGAACAAATACTCGATACGGATGACACTGACTTAGTGGTCGCGTTATGTCGTGAATTGGCAAATGTTGGAATTTATGAGCCGGCTATTGATGGGGTCCCCCTACAGTGACTTAGTGATCTAAGAGCTCGTCTTGTAACCAGGGGGCCCTGGGTTCGAACCCCGGCGGGTGCGTACTGATGAAGAGCCCCAAACTAGAACGAAACAACTGTCCAGTACTCCCAATTTTTTCAATTTTTCTCTAACTGATGTCAGCTCACGATGAAATCCAGCAAACAATCAAGTTAATTTGTTTAATGGACTCCACAGGATCCTTTGACTAATATAATTTGTCTCTTAGTAAATTGAATGTCATCATTATTCCCTCTGTGTTACGTATTCGACGTATAGTTTCAGCAGACAGGGTGGGGTGGGTTCCTTCTTTGTATGGAAGCACTATTAGTTGTTATACGTTTTCTAGCATTGCTATCATCTCTCCGTATGTTTGTCATTTGTCGTCCTTATTTTATTCTTTTATTTTTGAATTTCACTCTTGCAATTTCCTATATACTTTCTGATTAGTTCGTCGCTTGCTTCCTGTCTTACATTCTATTTGCTGCGGCTTAGTTATTTTTCCCTATTACATAGACATTTCACTAATCTGCTTTCTAACTGAAATGAAGGAGTGAGGTAGACCAAAATCTGAATATCGGTTTGAATGTGTGGGCTTTTGCTGTAAACGCACTAGCATTAATTGAAACAGCCAATCACCTTTCGTCTTTATGATACAATTAAAACAGTGCAACATGACTTTCCGAATCATCGTAAACAGAAGGACTTTGAATAGTAGTCTTTGTCGGAAATCAACAACAGCTAAGGTATTGATGAATAGGGGATTTTTTTTCTTGTACAACTGACTCATTTCATTAGCTGTCTGATCAAATGTTAACGCCTAATGTGTAACCGAAACTGTACTCTTCAATTGTGTAATTGTTCTCTAACATGGCCTAAAAGGTATGCTTATTTTATAAATTCTGAGAATTAATTTCCTATAGAAAACTGAAGTGAAACAACCATCTCCTCGTACTGTGTAAATTGTAGATTTAATTTATGACATCTACCACCCGTTTAGCTCACGTAAGTAGTGACTGGCCAGAAATCCAATGGTTTGAACTGGTCCAGCTATCTGAGCTATGTCAAACTCTGGGTAAACCGTTAATGAGCTCAACCACACCCAGACGAGTGAAACTGTAGTCCCTTGGTGCTTAGATCACTTCGATAGCCTGACTGGCTAGCTAGCAAACACTACCGATCGATGTGAGTGATGGCAGTGGTGGTGGTGCTATACAACTGCTCATCATTAATTCGGACTAGAAATGCTTCACGTACAATTTTTGTACTGTCTGCTTTGTGTCAAGTTTGATCATGAGCTGACATCAGCTAGAAAATCTGCGGGAAACCAGGTAGCACTGGACATTCGTTTCGTCCTCATTTGCGAATCTTCAACAGTATGCACCTACCACCACAATTCGAACCCGGGATTTTCCGGCTAGAAAGTAAGCTCATAGCACTATGACTTGATCCAATGGCTTTTGAATTGCAACTTGTATAAAACCGCTCATGAAAATTAATCTGATGCTCACTAGTGACTGGGTTACAAGATGAGGTTGACTGGAGTTCTCTAGTGAACAGTAGTGACCAGTGTCGTCCATCTGGACAGGCGTGAGGACATTTGGTTGGTGGTTGTGCTAAAATTACAAAAATTGATATACGAGCTTGCCTTGTAACCAGAAGACCATAGTTTCGAAACCTGATTAGTTGATACTGATGAAGAGTAGCAAACTGGTACAAAACGACTGACCTCTCTGGTTCTCTAACTGATGTTATCTCGTGATCACACGTGAAACAAATCAAACGCCATATAAACTAACTCTTTAAAAATATCTGTTTTCTTTTCTCTCTTTTTACTCAGTCCTCAAACCTATGCCTGGGAAGGTGGTGTACTACTCTGTCAGAATTCAGAGTCTTTTAATCAATTCTTAGTTACACGTAAAGAATACGAGGAACAAGGATCAAGTTATTGTGAGAAACGATTTCCTACTACTTGATGTGTATTGCGTCATCGTCATTCCCCTCTCTCTCTCTCTTTGCATACTTCTGTACAGGATAAACCAAGAAAAACACACATAAAATGAAAACATTTGTATATGTTCAAATATGTATATATGAATATGTGTATACTTATTCAATTATTTATTGTGTCAATGTGTAAATATGCATGTATGTAGTTTTATATATATATATATTTATATCATATGAAATACGTTGTGGTCTTTTTTTCCGCTGCACAAAATTTTATCTAAAGGTTTTTTTGTTTTTAAACAAATTATGAAAAGCTAGGGGAAGAACATAAAAGAGAACTCCACCCCAGAGGGGGCCCCTTCCAAGCTCACCTGTCTGCCTTACAACACTCAAAAATAAAAGTGAGAGTAGCATTTGTTTAAATAGAAAAAAGGGGGGCGGGCGGGAAATTTAACAAAGTACAAAATAAAAACAGTATCATGCAATAGGCATATACACACACACGCACGCACACCAAAAACATAGGTATCTATCCACTTTTTTTAATATTGGAAATTATATAACACATGATGACGATGATGGCAGGTTGGCAGACAGACAACCAGGCAAGCGAGCAGGAAGGATGGTTCGTAGAGGGATTCATTTTTTAAAATGTGAATATAAAAAGGGAAAGAAAACAAAAAGGTGTACAAATCTTCAATTAACTTTGAATGTGAAGGGGAGTATTCAGTCAACAAGAAAAGAAAACGGTGTAGGGATTGATTTTGTGTCTGAAAGGTTGATCAGTATACACATTTTTATAAGGATACAAAGTGAGTAAAAAGCTAAATGGATGGTTGTTTCTTCTTTACATAATTCATAGAATAACTAATTAAAAAAATGTGATGTGATAGCCAGTCAGTCAGTCAGCTAGGTATTAGTGTACACATGAATATATATATATATCAGGCATTCTTCAAATATACACCGTATTTATACATATATGTATATATCTATCTTAAACCAACAATGATTTGATTATAATTTATATAAACAAATACACAAAAGAGAAAAAAGATGACACAATCAGAGAATGAGGGAGTGAGTACAAAAAAGAAAGAGAAAACGCAGTCATTTTACATCCTAAATTATTATTCTCATTAAATGTTATACCGTATCAGCGTACATATATAGAGAAAGGAGAAAAGTGTTCCCGAATGGTTATTTATTATTGTTATTATTATTGAGCTGTAGCTAGCCAGCCAGCTAAGTTGTAGCTGATTAATTTCGACAGTGTATTTTCTTGTTCTATGTATTTTATAATAATAGTAATAATTATGTCTATATACAACATATGCATGCATGCATGCACGTACTTAAATGGTGTGGATCGCTTCGTATACATATATATATATATATATATATATATATATATATATATATATATATATATATATATATATATATATATATATATAAAGAGAAGTGTATTGTTAGACCGCTGCAGTCGCCTCCGCCGCGAAGAGTCGCACACAAATCGAAGAAGATAAACAAGAAGAACACACTTGATTTTGGCAGAGGAATAAGAATAAAATGTATGCTTACACATATATGTAGGTATGTATGTTTGTATATGCATATAAAAACAACTAGGGGTATACTCTGTACATACAAATACACACGAGCGCCATAGTGTTGAATAACAAACAGTTTACATGGGTCAACTAACTATCTCAGTGAATATTTTCAACAAGAAAATCGAGGGAGGGTGGGAAAGGGGATCGAGGGTGATAAACCTCTCAATTCTTGTTCTCCCTCTCTTTCGCACACACACACACACTTAACTCTCATCACCTAGAAAGATGTTGTTGTAAGTGAACTTTTGTAAAGAAAAGGAGTATTGTTAATTAATTAATAGTAATAATAATGACAATTAAAAGAAAAGTAAATCATTGAATGACAAGGTGTAAATGAAAAGAAGAGGAAGTGTATTGCACTTAAATGCATTAGTGACGATTATTATTATGATTACTATTAATCATTCCCCTTAACGTTTATCTCTTCTCAACACACATGTCTCTCTCACGCTCTTTGTTAAACATTAAACAAAGTGTCAGGGTTCAAATGATAAGCGCAATTAAGAAAAAGGAAAATATGTAATTACACTTTCATCCATTTTACAAATAAATAAATAAATAGTAAAGGGGTTAAAGACAGTCTAACTTGGTCGTCTCTCTCTTTCTCTCTCTGTGCATAAAAGTTATCGGAAAGCGACAAAAACAAGGAGAAGATTCATCGTTGTTTGAAGGGACAGAGGACGAAGAAGAAGCAAGGAATAGAGAAGCAAACACAACGAGGTAGTAAAAGTGGAGTATTATTTAATGACGAAACTTATTATCAAATCAATCAAGCAATCACATTCAATCAGCTCTCGGAAGAATCTTTCCTATTTCAGCAAAAGTACGGTAGTAGTAGTAGTAGTGGTTTGAAAACAGTAAATCTATAATTTCATAAGAAAAAAGGAAATTTCACAGTATGCTGTGGGCTTTTTTTACACATTATACTTTATAAAGGTGAAACAGTGTCGAGTTGTTGTGAATAATAATAACAATAATAATAGTAGTAATAGTAATGATGATAAAATCAGAAGAAAAATCTTCCTGGTGTTGTTGTAATATGTTGAGCATTTCGATAAGTTTCAGCTAGATAAGCTGATTTTGGATCATGTCTTTCTGATGAATGTACAGGGTGTGTATTATTATTATTATTATGGTGTGGGACTGTTAATTCTCTACTATGCTGATGAGATGATAAATTCTCTTCATCTAATTGTCCTGTTCCTGTAGTGTTGTAGGGACGATTAGTTTGACCTAATAAATTTTGATAATGTGTATGTGCACTTGGAGGTGGCGGTGGTTGTGGTATTGCTTGAGGTTGAGGGAGTTGATGCTGACGATTTGTAGGCGTAACCTGAGCTTGTTGGTGTTGTTGTTGTTGTTGATGATGATACTGATGGTAGGCATAGGCGGCTGCTAACCCCGATACTTCATGAATGGAATGAGCAAGTTGTTGACTTGCAGTAGCTGTGTTATTCGCTTGAGCATGTTCTACCATCGATCTGCTATTGCCTAATGTATTTTGCATAGCAGCAGAACCTTGACGAAGATGATGAGAAGGATAAAGGGAATAATTATCACGTAGACTTGTATTAGTATTAGCAATAGTAGTTGGTGTTGTTGTACTACGACCATCAGGATTGTGTTCTACATAATTTGAATTTGAAGAATATTCAGTAGTTGAGCTGTTGTTGTTATGCGATAATTGTTGTTCACTGACTAATCGATTGTTAGATACTGATACTGATGATTGTGTAGTAGTGTATTGATTATTGTCAAATGACTGATAACGATATTGATTTGAAGAGAATGGAAATCCTGTGTACTGGTTATTACTACGTTGTAAGGCATCAGTATTGTCTCCTTGTTGTCCAGATGGAATAACAGGCAATCCATTAAAACCTTGTCCATCACATCGACCTATAATAATAAGAAGAATAAATAAAATAACAATTAGGCGATTTTTTGTTTTATTCATTATTTCTAAATGGTATAAGCCGTTATAACATACACACAGTTGAATAATAAGAACACTATCAATACTAATGTCAAATCAGTTCCCTTAAATATATTTGGTTCAGGGACTTGGTGCGCGGTTACCATGAAAAGCATTTCGAACAGGCGACTGCAGCTTTCATTAACAGCTGTCCACTTCGTTCGGCACGAAAGGTCAAATGACCAGAAAGGATAAGCAATAGGGAAATCTGGGAACAAACCTACTGCCCAACAAATATACCGTAGTAGGAAATGGAGATAAATCGGATGCACGCTGGGAAGACTGTTGATTGACGACACACGCCAGGTACTCTCTGCCGAGTGGAAGCCGAAACGGCGAGTTAGGTATCCAAGAGAAACATGGTGAAGATAAACGTTTAAGAAGCCAGCTGGAAATTAAGACTACAGACAACAGGATCAAATGGAGATGTACTGTTGAAGTTCTAGTTTGAGGATCGTCGGCAGTACGCACCAACCACAGTAGGGTTCGAACCCAGGACCTTCTGGTTACAAGGCAAGCTGGCTCGTATACCATTCAGCCACTGGGACCCGATTTAATGGCCATTACATAAATTCTAACTTCTACCAATTCGTGATGCACTTAGCGCGACCACCAACCAATGTCATCGATGGGAAATCCATACTCACACTTGACTGGTTGGATCTCACTAGTCACGACTTCTCACTAGAACTTCAGGAAACTCCGTCCTATAGCAAGTCACTCACAAGCGAGCATCAGATTAATTTTCTATAGTTTGGTTTGTAAGGATTAGATTTGTTTTTATGAGTTTGACCACGCATTGATATCAGTTAGAGAACCATTGAAAACCAACACTAGAGTACTGAACAGCTGTTTTATCCTAGGATGAAAAACGGATCCAAACCCTACCAACCAACTCTTGAAGAAATACACAGTACTTCTATACAAAGTGTAGATGCTTCTCTTCGTACTTCAACTAGAGAAACACCCTGAGAACAGTATTAAAACTCATTGTTCACACGATATTATATAAGTGCATGCATACAATATATCTGTGGGTCGGTGACATAGCGGTTAGGACGCTCGCCGACCATACACATGGTCCGGGGTTCAATCCCCGGCCGACGAGGCACTCCTTTACCTCGCTAAGCCAGAAATAATGCTGGTAAAGAGGAAAGGTTGGGCATGAGGCTAGCAACCCCATCCAGTAAAGTAAATAAACACTGCTACAGAAACTTCAAGCCATTAGCTTGAAGCCCTATGTTCCTCTGGGGAACGTGAAGGAAAAAAAACAATATATCCTGAGAGAGATTTTCGCGTCATAGATAAACAAAGTAAAAGTGCCACAATTAAGATTTTTACCATACTACCGAAGTTCTACTCATCCTACACTAAAGGAATAGAGAAAGAATATCAGGTTGTGTAGTGTTTGGTGACAGCTGGCTGCTAGCCAAATTGGTGGACAGTAATTTACGTCAATGGTTATGTCCCAAATATGGGTTGTGAGAAAAATGAGAAGAAAGGCCTTGAGTAGGCGGATACAGTTAACATATAGATGATCTGACATTCAAGAAACAGCCACAAAGAGATGAAAGATTAACTTTCAGTGAGAAACAACCAATCAGAAGACTGTTTTTGTTTGTGTACATGAAAATCTATAAGTATGTGTTGATTTCCGTAATAAACGACCTGTCGCCTGGCCTTGTCTTCTGTTATTACAGTGTAAGTGAATACAATATAGTAGGTGAAATTCTTTTTAAGCCATAATATCATAGTTGGAAACAACGAATGTTATCAACCCCAGAAAAAGGTGTATGGCTGACTGAATTTTAACATAGAGCTCTGCACTGAAATGCCACCGCCACTTCAACTTGTCAAACTCCCTCCATGTAGTAAGGTAAAGGTGGAAAAAAAGAACTATATAATTAAGCAGAAATGTACAGGAGAACGAAAGAATAGTGTAACATGGAAAAACGTGACGGTTTAATAGATACATGAGAGATCACAAAGAGTGAATGCATCTCCGCCACTGAGAAAGATTTTGAGCTATACCACCAATAGTTTCCACAGCCATTGGTTCTTAAGCATGATGAAGACCACCCCCCCCAATCCTCCCAACCAGTCAGTCTACACCTCCGTATATGAATGGCTCAACCCAAACAAACTGTCAGAGACCATCTCTAATTCTTTTCCAACCCAACCCTATGTCAAGTAACATTCATTAGTTGTCGAGATAGGTGGTGGTTTGGAGTACACATAAAACGTGTTCTCACCATCTCAGTCAATGTCCTTCCACAACTGCATCGACTGAGTTGCACTCTTTACCTAGCACTCTACGCGCCCAACCTGAATATTACTAATCACCATATTATAACCATTAACACTGGTGGAAATAGATGGGAAAAAGGTATTCTATATTTATACTAAGAATTCCTTCGGTGATATATATAAGCCACTTCAGGCCAATTCATACACCTTCTGATATAGACTAACCCCTTAGTACATTTGACCACTTCACTCCCACCTTCTGAAGTTGGATGACAGTATTTCACATTATAAAGACAGTTTAATCTGATAGCTAATTGCTATTAAAATGGACCAGATAATCTCAAGAATTCCATCTAAAAAATTCAGTGTATCGTCTTTCTTACTGGTATATTCAACTGAATAACAGATTGACTAGAGTTCATCTGTCATGGGACAGTTATTGCTAAATAGCTCAAAAGATAAACAGAAATACTTCCAGGATTTCATTATGACCTGACGTCATTTAGAGAATCATTGAAAAACCTAGGAGTACTGGACAGCTGTTTCATTCTAGTTCGTGATACACCC